AGTCTACATTCGGAGAGATGAACGTGTTTCGCCGATAAAAACCGCATTTTCTGTATTTGATTCGAACAGTACTGCACTGCATAACATAACAGCAAGCCGACGACGCGTTAAAGTGCTTCTGACCGACGACGCGTTAAAGTGCTTCTGACCGTGCCCATTCATGCGGGTTACGTCCCCCAACGCAATTGTGGAAATAACCTCGTGTGAAATCTTGCGACGTAGTAGAAACATCCAACTAACTGAGTCTCACCTCTCCCGGCAGGCCATGTCGGCGTTCGTGGCTCCTCCCCCGTTGCCCTGCCCGGTGGCTCTTACGCTCATCAAGCCGTCGACCTGCTTCCGTGCACCGATGGCATGGAAGTACCATGTTTCCAAAACACTCGACAATGGTTGTATGCTGACGGTTATTCCTGTTGCTGAGGAACCCACGTTACTTCGTACCCTTGTTCTCCCTCCCCGCCCAGCCGCTGCCACCGCCAAGCATCGCCAGTACTGTGCCTCTTCCTGCCCTCCCTCGCTACACTACGATCTTTGCTGTGCCGGGGTAAGGCAGGCAGACAGACAGACAGAGACAGACAACGACGTTTAGACCAAACAGCGAATGACTTAGCTTATCATTCGATCGTGAATGGTTGTGCGTTAAGCTGCAGTCTAGAGACATCACAATCCGAATGCGACAAAAGCACGCCGTACTTCTTCCTTCGCCAGGAGACATTTCCCTCCCCTCCATGTTTATCTGGTCGGGGTATGCACGACTACGGTAGATTCCCTCGCCCAAAAGCATGCATGTTTTATTGTGCATGTGTGTGTAATGCCAGACGCGTGACAAATAGGATCGAAAAACGAAACACAGGCGTGGTGCAGGGGATTTGTGTAAGGGGGACACATACTTTCCAACAGTGCATCATGGCTCGACCAACTCCAGTGCCATGCATTCTCCGAGCAAATGTACTACAGCAGGGTGCACACGCGTTGTCATTTGTTGTAAGCGCTGCAGGATTTCTCACCCGTAGTCCTAGGCATTGAAAGTTAACTACTCCGTGCAGCCAACGCGACACCGCTGCTGTCGCCTGTTGACAAGGTCGCGCAAGCTTACGCAGAGTGGCTTTTACAAGGCAGGGCGCAGATGAACATGCGAAGGAGTTTCACCCGTAAGCCAGCAAGCAGGAAACAAATGCGGTGAGATATTTTGACCGTACCCCATCATGCCGGCAGCAGACCGTGGCAACGATTTGACACCTTCTGGGTCATTCACATGGTGCCATGAACCATCCGAACTGCGTGTTACGCCGGGAAACCTTGAGTACAACACATACAGCAATTGATTTCATGCGTTCCCAAGACAGGTGCACGGCTTCC